ACATAATGTAGTAATGCAAGGGTCTGAGATCAGGGGCTTGCAAAGGCTTGTGGGAGTCGAGCTGGGGGAATCAGGAAGATCCGCTCTGGTCCAGGTGTTCTGAGAAAGTGTCCCTCCAGGAGGGCCACTTCTCTGTAAACTCTCACTGAGTCTGAAGGGAAGAACTGGCTTGGAGCTAGTTCTTTTGAGCTTCTAGAAGCTGCAAGAAACTGCTACTAGGTTGGGTCACTCTGTGAGCAATGGTGCCAAAAGACTGAAAGATTTCTATTGCATTTAAACGCCCTCTGCCATCTTCCGTTCTCTACTAGCCCGACTGAGATTTTATTGAGTCTAGTCTGTGGAGATCAGAAGCGAGAGTCCTAAGGCACCAACGCAGAAAAGCACTGACATCCTGAGCTCAGCTCCAGCGTGAACCGACAGCCCCTACACGGCAGAACTTCCCGGCAGGTCTGCTTCCGTCGATACCGTGGCAACAGGAGATTATTTAAGCCTGCATATTCGTGTGATGCCTCCAGTTTCCCCATAGCAGCAGCATTTAGGGTTACTAATCTCCACTCCTCTTGAAAGATGAGTACACTTTTGAAATAAATGCAATAAAAAAATACAATCAGGATAGACAGGAAAGAGAAAGACAAATGGAATTGCATCATAACAATGTCGTTATTGCCCAGAAAGGAAAGAGAAGAATGCCGTTTTGTCCATTCTGGAGGTGTCTTTGAGAAGGGTTCTTTGGCTAAAGGAATAGTTTCCCCTTCCTTTCCATTTTGGTAAGGATATCTCTGGCCTGCTCAATTTTGAGGCTTCCCCATCTGAAATTGGCAAGACACATCAGAAAGAAAAGACACAGACAGGGAGAGAAGCATGCAAAGTCCCTGGGGCTGGAATGTTCCGTGGCAAAACCATGATGTGAGTCCCAGGCTAGTCCTGCGGAAGGAATCCTTGCCTCTCAGTTGAATTCTCTTTGCTACTCGAGGGCACCTAGTTATTTTCTTCTTTCTGTTTTCTGTCCGAGCAGTTATTGGGCACGCCACCAAGAGCCCCTCATCCCACCCTGCCCCCAGCACCGGAGAACTGGGGATGAAAGCTGGGGCAAGCCCCTGGACGCACCTGGTTTCATCAGCCACAGCCCATCAGTAAGAGTTCCTTAAGCCTCCTCATCTCCTTCCTCCAGTTTCCAAGAAAGTCTGCTCCACTCACTCACACACACTCACAAAACCCAAATCCTCCACCACAAGCTTGTTCAAAAATGAGTGTTCGCAATTCCAAAGATCCGGTCGAAGGAAATCAGCCTGTTAGCAGCTGTGCTCATCTCACCTTCCCTTCCTTACATCCAACAATCTGGTGTCTGGGCGGGTTGAGTCTTCCAGGGTGAAGAGGACAAGGCCAGCTGGCTCTCACAGCCAGCAAGCCACTCACCGCCAGTAAGGCCAGAATGCAAATACAGTCCAGGAGACAACCTCAGTTTGCCCCAACCCTTCCTTTCCCTCCAAATTCGATCAACCACATGCTCCACTTCACAGTATTAACTGGCATCAAGCCTCAGACTCTCCCACCCATTGGCCTGCTCACCCCTTCCCTTGGAAACAGCTAAACATCATGAAAGAGGCACTAAGCACAGAGACACGGGTGCAAACACCCAGATGGGTCCGCCAGAACCCACTGAGCAGAAGCACAGCGACCTGTGGTTCCTAAGGCTCCAATCACACGGTTCTCCTTGACCCGTCTTTTTAAGTCTTGCCCTCTTACTCTTAACCATGTTTCTTCAGTAAAAAAGGATGGAGCCAATTAAAGAACAGATGATGCTCTAGGTTATTTGTGGTCTAAATAAAGACTAGGTTGGCATCCCTCTACTTGAGAGCTTGGTCCTAGGGACAGGCAGCTTTTTATTCATCCTGTTTGCTAGGGCGACTTAGAGTTGGAGGACAGAATGGGAGATTCGGGCGCGTGCTAACGAGTGCACGAGGAGCCTGGCTTCTCCCAGCGGGCTCTTCTCCTTCTCCTGGTGCACTGACGGGAAAAGGGAGGGCACTGAGGAAAGGCGCTGGGTCAGCTCTGAGTAGAGTGGCTCTCTTTTTTGCTTGCCAGGTAAATATCAGATGTGAGGCAGGCCAAGGATCTAGGTGGCTGATTTCAGAAGCACAGGAGAGCGTGGACAACGTGGGCGAGAACCACGGCTAAGGGTTCAGCCCAGGAGATGTCTCCTCAGATCTCTTCCCAGGCCACTGGGAACCCAGAAAAATACAATATTGATGGTGACCATGTTGTCAAGAGCCCAATCTGGTCTGTACCAAGAAAAAGGCCTTGATTCTTCATTAAACTATTGTTCTGTGGTGGATCTTTCTTGACAGCTCTTTGTGGAATAGAAATGACAGAAACAATTTTCCTAATTCTTGGGTCTTTCCTTTTTTTTTTTTGTCTGACAAAACTGGACAACTGCATGTCCCTCCTGTCTACTCATATACTCACAGACATAATAAAATAAGTTTAAATATTAAAGAGAAAACACGAAGATACTTGGAATAAATGTGCATTTAAAACTCCAACTAAATATCAACATGATGATAATGATAATAATTACAATGGTAATAACCAAAATAATTAGTACAATAATATTATCTTTATGAGCAGCATGGAACTTTCATTCCTGATCTGGAAGAAAAGCAAAGAAAAAGTCAGATGAAAGAGTAAGAGACTTTCAACTTAAGTAGACAAACTAATTTTCTTTAAAATAGAAGGCTATGTTGTCTTTTCCTGTAAAAAATCAGATCTAGAAAGGGCTGGAAGTGAACTGTGCAAGGGGTCCAGGATGCTACCCAATAGGGCAAATGGAGGCTCATTTGCAGCCAAGACTTCTGTCACTGGGCAAGAGGACATCTGATGGGATATTGCTGCCATCTGGCTGCCGAAAGTCTGGGACAGATGGGTTCTCCAGGCTGGCATGGCTCTGGCTCATGTGTCCTCCGAAGACTTTACTCCCCCCACCCTCTCTGGACTGGCCATTTTCCTGTTGTCTCAGAATGATGGCACTTTCCCACCTCCGGATAAAGATGCATTGCTCAGACGCATTGATCATGGCACCACGAGGACGGCATCTCAAACCTCTCGAGGGCTGGGCCCCGCTGGGTTCCTGGGGGGCTGCTGGGGTGTGCCCTACCTCGAGCGGGTTGTGGTGTCCTTTCTTCCAGCCTAAGGCCTGGACCAAGCTGGTTCCAGTTTGGGGAACTACTTCTTTGTGAGATAAGTAGAATTTATGGTTGGGGAGGGGAAATTTCCAGAGTTATTTCACATTTCACAGCTAAAAGCTAAGGTAACGGCTTCGTTACTGAATTAGGTCAGCTACCACCATACAAACACCTTTCACAGTAGATCGTTACGGGAGACTGCAGAGTGAGGAAGGAAAGAGGGGGCATGAGGATGGACTGCCGAAACTGGGAGCCATCTCTTTGCGCCTTGGAAACTTGGCTTCGGGGTCAGTTAAGGACTCAGCATCGAGAATCAAACAATTAGGACCACCCTTTAAAACCCCATCTGTGACCAGATAGTCTCCCAACATTCAAGTGTTTAAGGGAAATTTGCTATGAATGGAGAGGCCACCCCCACCCCCAGCAGTGCTCAAGGCCTGAGAAAACTTCCAGAAGGTATCAAAGGTGCAAAGAGGGCAAAATTCTTTGGAAACTTAACTGCCCGTGGGAGTGTTTTGTTTTCCAAAGTGCAGTGTGACCCCCTGGTTACCCTCACAAATGTCCCTCCAACCTTCTGCCTACCAGACCCCTCTAAAACCAAACCTGAAGTCGTGTCTTGGGTAGGCCTGGGTAGTGTGAGGAAAGATTCAGCAGCAAACAAAGGTTGATGGTCGTCTACAGAAGGAAGAATCTGGCAAAATGAATCTGGCAAAATTGTGAGAGAAAACACAGCCGGTGGAACCAGAGGAGAGGGGGCACGGCTGTGAGGGTGAAGTGTGAGGTGAGTCTGAGATCACGGGGCTGGGTTCCAGGCCTCCTCTCCACCCTGCAGATGGCGACAGGAAGGTTGTGCTGGGTCTGGAGGCGGGAGGGGGCCTCCTCTCCTTTGTCCTTCCATATCAGGAAGGAGGCAGCTGCCTGGCGAGGCCAACATTCCTGAAACAGAGATGGGACCTCTGGCCCCACAAATGGCAGATCTGGACCCCCGGGCAGAACTGAGGGCAGAGAGGTGTGAGGGTACAGGGTGGGGAGTCTCTCTCGCTCTCTGCCAAAGTAAAAGTCAACTAAAACCATCACTGTCATCAGATTCACCCACCCACCATCCATCTCCTACATCTCTCTCGAGATCCAGGGGCTCTCCAGGCCCCCGCCAGCTCCCTGACACTCCTCTGTTAGCAAACAGCCCGAGAAAGACAACATGTATTAAAATAAAATTAAATAAAGAAAAAAAAAAAAAAAAAGGAGAGACCAGCATAAAATGTTACAACAGCACAGAAGAGGGGCTGAGATGATGGACTCGCCTCAGCCAGCTTCTTGGAGTACCACAGAAGTCACCCTCACACCGCGTCGGTCGGTAGTCGGTAAGGCACTAGGAGGGAATGACGTGAAATCAAGACTGTGAGAGCTGTGACGGCGGTGCCAAGGGACACAGGGAGGGCGGCACTCTCGCTCACACCCACATGCTCGCTCACGCTCACACACCTGGACCACCACATTGGTACATGCCTTCGTTAGATCACTACTTTTTGTGCAATTACATTGAGGAATAGTCTATTGGTATCATTGGAGTTGAACACAAAGTAGAAAACAGGGTGCAGAGAGCTACATTCTACTGGGGTGTCGGCGATGGCCGCTAGCCCTATGCTACGGGACTAGGGGTTGATTCAAAGAGAAAACAAATCTTCAGAAAAGAAAGAAAACTAAAACTTGCAACACACAATATTAACGACATTTGAGGAATAACATTGCTTAGGGATTTATCCAGAATGCTCAGAAAGAGAAAATGCGCCCTCTCCCAGGGGGGTCTTCTTTAGCCCTGGCCAACACCCCCCACCCCCACGCCCGTCAGTCCTGACGAGTGAGCCAGAACTGGGCTTTGCCAACCCCTGACCAGCCCCCGAATATCAGCCTCCTAGGCCACGGCCTGACCTTCCAGAGGGCTGCTGACCCTTTCGAGTTCTGGAAAGATCCCTAATTCTTATGTTCAATAATTAAAAATCTATTGGATTTCCATATCAGGTGTCCCTGACAGCAAATTCTTAAATGTCACTTGCTGCCATGTGAAAATAATCTTTGAAAAGTTCATAGATAAAGTTCTTCAAAAACTGGGCCCCCCCACTTCCAGAATCTTCCGTTGCTCTCTTCTTCTCCTTTCCAGTTTGGTGCAGAATGGGTTCGTGAGCTGTGTTTTTTGTTACTGACGTTTTCTTTTTTTTCTTTTTCTTTTTTAAAATAAAAAGCATAGATTTCCCCCTTCTTAATCCCTTCCTTTTTAAAATGTTCTCTTCTCTGCTCTCAGTCCTCCCACTTCCTAGTTCAAGTTTCATTTGTGTCCCGTCCCGTCCCCTGCCCCCCTCCCTGCCCTGTTTGCATTGTTTGTGTGCGGCATCTTCAGTATAAAAAGCCCAGCTCCCACCTCGGTCCCTCCTCCTCTCCCTCCTCCCCTCTGGCCATCCTCCCCTCCCCTCCCCTCCCTTTCCAGTGCTTATATGTAAGGGTACTGGTTGACCTTGGCAGGGCTCAGTGGGTATCCAGTGTAGACGGTGGAGGCTGGAGAGGCGCTGATGTAGGTCTGGTGGGCAAACTGGGCTGGATACTGACTTGGGTGGATGGTGGGTGAGGGCAGGACCCGGGGGCCCATGCTCACGGGGACCTGGTGGACGATGCTGGCCGGGTAGGCAGTGTGCTGCACGGTGTGACGTGCCGAGCCTTGGGAGGCCACCAGATGGGCCACGGTGCCAGTGGAGCCCAGGGCTGCGGGCGCTGTGTAGGTGTAGAGGTGGGGCTGGGCGGGGAGGTGGGCGGCGGCAGCCAGGTGGGGGTGCACAGTGCCGTGGCTGGGGCTGTTGTGCGGGAAGGAGTACGGAGCCTGAGCCATCGTGGGAGTGATGTAGGCCTGCTGCCGTCGGTGGCTCCCGGCGCGGTCTGCGGTGATGTGCTGCTGAGCCTGGAGGAGGAGAAGCACCAGGAGAGGCTGCGTTGGGGGCTGGACACACAGGAGAGGAGGGGGAGGAGGGAAAACAGAGAGGAGAGGAGGGAGAGGAGAGGAAGGGGAAGAAGAGGACTGGAGAGGAGGGAAAGGAGAGAGGAGGAAGAAGTGGGGAGGAGAGAGAGGAGAGGAGGGAGAGTAGGGGAGGAGGGAGAGCAGGGGCAGGTGGAGGAGGGGAAGAGGGAAGGGGAGGAGGGAGAAGAGAGAGGAGAAGGGGGAGGAGGGGAAGGAGGAGGGAGAGGAGGCCAGAAGCGGCAGGAGAGACGGAAGACGCCTCGCTTGTACGCTGGGAAAGTAGAAGTTCGCTTGGACTGAGAAAGGAATGCTGTGTCCTGCCGCTCCGCAGCTGAAGACACACAGATGAAACCAGCTGCACAGTTAACAGGAGACAATGTCTCCCAAGGACATATCACAGCCGTGAAGTGTCAAAAGAAGCCCCTCTTTGAGGGATGACTGTTGTCTCTCTCACTGTGAAATCGTAAGCTCTCAGAAACTTTGCTGTTTGAAATTCTGTTAGTACAAATGAGACAGCCCTCTGTTACCTGGACAACCTAAGCCACGACGACACAGAGACCCCGCCTCAGTGTTCATCCTAGGTGCACCGCTTCAGATGAGGGTTTCTGAGCACAAACTCCCCGTTTATCTCACTCTGGAGCTTCTAAGGAAACAGGTCTGAGTCCACGTGGCAGTTCAGACCTGGTGTTGACCCCTTACACATGGGAGACTCTGCTTCATTGATGCTCCACCTAAACGCCACCCGCCGCCTCCAGACCCTCTGACTCTTTACCTGGGTTTGGGGTTTCTGATATGTGGCCCCCTCATGCAGTGAATCAGTAAACCCGACTTTGTGGGACTGCATGTCTGTCCCTGGTGTCCTGGCCTCATGGGGCCAGGATGCAGTTTTCTCCTTTGCTGGCCTGAAACAGCAAGATGTGGGCCACCTCTTTTTTAAGCTCTGGCACCATGTCACTAAGCACATCATAACAGTGGACAAGTCAGGTGGCTTTGGGCTGGCTCTCTGTGAACCAGTGATTCCAACTTCCCCAAGGGTGATCCACGGTGGAAAGGAAACACCAGAGGTCACCCAGGGTATTTCCTGCCACCCTTAGAGGGGCTGTAGCTCTGGGAGGTGGGCGAGGGTCTGCCACAGAGACCCTCTCTGAAGCCGAGGAAAGTGGGCGATGAAGTGACATGCTTGGCGGGTGAGACAGCCATTGGGTGGGGCTTACCTGGCTGAGATTGAGAGGCTGCTGCTGCTGGAAATGCGGTCCTGGCCGCTGCTGCCGGTAGGCAATGGCTCCAGACGAGCTCCCTGAAGAGTGACCGCTGGTGGAGGTCACATTGCTGGAGGACTTGGACTTGTAGGACGAGTGGTGACTGGTATTGACTGTGTGGGAGGAGAAACAGGTCACAGATCAGTCACACGTCCTCAGCTGCCCAGAAAACCCTACCCCTCTAGGGGACATCAGTGGTCTTCCAGGAAGGAACACATTCCTGAGACTGGCCAATCACAAATCAGCCTCATCTTCCCCAGACCCAGTTAAGATTCTGCCTTGACGCTGGACTGGCCACTGGGCTCTGGCTTGTTCTACTGGTTGGGAGCAAACCTTGCTGGACTTTACTATCTGGTGACAGTGAAAAGCATAAGGAGAGTCTAACAGAGAAAAGAAGGAGAGTTCTCTGCAGCTCTTCATGTCCCATCCAGGGCTGCAGCGGAGGCTCTCCGCTGAGACACAGAGACGCACAGTGACAGGTACAGCAGGACAAAGATAACCGAGTTTCATAAAAAGGACCACAAACATCCTAGAGGAAAAAGCAACAACTAGAATAAAACAAACAGGATAAGGAGGTTTACATTAAATCATTTTAGTACATTTCAGTGTTGCGTGATCTGTGAATACTGGCTCCCAGCAGAGTGGGACTCGTGTCTCTGTGGGGCGGTCAGAGGACCACCACACACGGCACAGGATGTGGCAGACCCGAGAGCTATTGCTCACTCGCCCCTCAGTGTCTCTCTAGAAATCACACATTTTTCTCCTGAAGCCTTTTCTAGCATAGATGAATGAAAACCAGGATGGAAAAATCCACAGGCAATAAGAAAAAGGCCTTTGGTATAGGGAATCCTCAGCAGCCAGAACACTGCACTGCTGTCCTTCCACAGACTCCTCGACTCCAAAACTGTCCACATTTGAGGGAGCTGCCCAGAGCAGGGGTGTTCAAGAGAAGGAGGATATAAGGTGTCTCATGTCAAGGGAGAATTGGCAAGGACATACACAGGACGCCAGAAGACAGCTCTACTTCTCGTGTTGTTCAGTATCAAGAGTTCAGAAGATTTATTGGGGCCTGAGCGTCTCTGGGAAACACACAAGCCTAATGCCATCTCAACTGGGTAGCCACAGTCGCTACTGTGAACTGGGTACGTCTGACTGTTCTTGGGGGTTGAGGATGCTGAGTATTAACAAAGCACACGTCACAAGGACCAGGCCTTGATGGAACTGGGTTGGATCAATTCTATTACAAACCTCAGAGTGATGAAATCAAAGTCAGAGAGGAGATGCCTGAGGCCAGAGAGAATGCTGATTAACTGTTGATGGAGAGAAGCATGAAGAGTGAAGGGAAACCAGACACCTAGGGCCAGGAGATCAGGGCACACGGGGCAGTCGGAGAGGAGTCTCCCTGCCCCCACAGGTAACAGCCCCCTCGAGTAAAGGGAGAGCTACCTCACTGGGGAGGGAGAGGGCGGGTCCCAACAGAGACCTCTAAATCTGACCACGCGCCCCGGGGGCCTCCTATCCCACCCACTGAATCAGAACCCCGCGGGGGATGCCCAGGAATCTGTATTCTTAACAAGCTTCCCAGGAGAGCAGGAGCCAGCCAGGCCCTGTGTGTGTAGCTGACCTACACTTGGGAATCAGGGCCCTTTGCTCAAGCCAAAGCTGGTTAGACTCCCAAAGCCCTCCAAAATCCGGGGGCTGGAGGGAACTCTGGGGACCCATAGTAGGATAACAGGTGGAAAGTTGCAAACGCTGGCTACCAGGAGAACTTCAGCTTCTCTCCTTCATTCAGCCACTGTGCTACCGCGTTGGAGTCAAACTCCTTTCTGCTCTGCATCAGATCATAAACCGTGCTTGCTGTCTGGCCCGCGCTGGGGATGTCATCTCTCTGCTCCTATTTCAAGTCTCTGGGCATTTGTGGTAACTATATTTAAGGGAGAAACCCTGAGCTTCAGGTGTCCAGAGCTTGAGTCTGCAAGTGAAGAGATGTGCGAGTTGCAGATGAAAATGGACATGACAGAGCCCTGTATTTCCCGCTACCATCATCATGGGGACAGGAGATGGGGGCTGGGTCACAGCTTGTCAAGCTGTCAGAGCAGGAGACCCGTGTATAAGGGAAGGGGTTCTGAAGGGGACCAAGGATTAAAATAATAATCTCCTCCTGCAAAGACGAATCAAGTGACAATGGAGTGGAGCAGAAGGCAAGAGCAGAACGTAGAGCTCCTGCTGTGTATCTGGAGCTGTGCGGGCCATGACCGAGCTCTCTGGTCAAGCTGTGCCCAGCTGCTCTCAAAGATCCCCTGCCCTGGGAACAGCCCTCGGTTCATGGGCTGGCCTCCAGTGGCCCTGTCTGCACTAGGTGGGTGGGAGAGTGCTTCAGAGCACGGGTGAGCCCTGGAGCCAGACCCCTGGGGGGGCCAGCCGCACGGCCTCGGTCGAGTTAGTCAACCTCTCTGTGCTTCCATAATCTTATCTGGAAAACTGGGAAAATGATAGTAACTACATATGGAGTCATCATGAGGATTACACGAGTTAATGTATGTAGGATGCTTAGTATCTGGTACGTGTTAACCTCTTAAAAGTGTTAGCTATTGTTGATGTCTTTATTGTTGAGCCCAGCTCCCTGGCTAAAGCTGATGCTCAAGGAACAGGTGCCTGCTCCAAGCTGGGACAACCAAGTCCTGTCTCCTGGAAATGGGAAACTGGGAGCCTGGGAGTCGCTGGGTCAGGGTGAAGCAGTGCTCCAGAAAGCAGGCGTCAGGCTTCCAGTGGCCCAAGTCCCAGGGGTTCTGGCTCCTGCCCTGCCTGGGACCTAGCTGTTGAACTTTCCCTCAGCCCTGTATCCCTCTAATAAATTCTTTATTTGTCTTAAGGCAGTGCAGAGTTCATTTATTCATTCCAAAAGAACCCTACCTAACCCAAGAGGTCTGAGAGGGCTACGTGAGAAATCCTCAAGAATCCTTCCTGAGCTGGGAGCCACAGTGGGGGACAAGTACTGTGAGAAAATGGACTGTCACTTGCACAGCATTCATTCTGACTTGAGCGGGCTCAGGGAACCCCTGGAGCTCCAGCTGGGGTGGCTGCAACCATTCGTATCTTGGCCTATTTGGGCCAACCGGGCACCAGGACGCTGAGGAAGGCTGCTTTCCTGGTTCTTCTAGCCTAGGATGATTTTGCAGCTAACAGTGTATCTTAGGGTTGAGAAACACCACAGGCTGGGGACGGGCAGGCAACAGAATGAAGTGCCTTCCTGCCTCTTATCTGTCACTAGAAAGACTGTGCAGCATGTTCTCACAGGGGAAAATAAATCTCTCTTTGCAGCAGAAAATTGTACCATGGGGTTCCCCAGAGACACTGACACTAGTTGCTTTAGAACCTGTAGACTTACTGAGAATGACCTTCCTTTTTTTTTGTTTTTTGCTGGAAATATCCCTCAGAGATTCTTGGCCATCCCAGTAATCTTTTCTTTTACTTCAGATATAACGCAGTCTTGTGGAAACGCAGTGGGCTGAGTGCTCAAAACTGCCACCTGTCACACACAGTGCTAGGGGCTGACGATGGAAATGGTCAATGTCACCTGGAAGGTGGAAAATGTGGCTCCACAAAGCTGTCCTCTCTTGTTGCTCACCTTTGTGAAAACTGCTGTGTTATGCTGGCCATTTCCTCACCTGTCTTAACTAGGGGTTGAACAAAGTGGTCTTAAAGTTTCAGTGACTCTCGCCACAATTTTGTCACCTTCCACGGAGTGGCGCCAGCACCAAGGCTGACAAAGCCCCAAACTGGAAGATTTCTAACTTGCGGAAACTTGGCCACTGTCTCATGCATCCTCCATTTCATTTTAAAAGGCCAAAAGAAATTTAGCATTAACCACATTTTTTTTTTCTTTACCAATTCCTAGACGACCTGCATAAGGCCTAGCATAAACCAGTTCTTATATACCACGATCTTGCATGTCAGAGGGATCATGACTGTCACAGAGCTCCCCTGAGATGTCTTGGAACATGGGCATCCCTGATTTACAAAACTCACTGTCTCATCCTGTAGATCCACAATCCCTGATCTGAAATCCCTGAGGACGTTTGAAATTCAGAATTTCAAATTTTAGGAAGGTAATTTGGTACGTATCCAATACATTAGGTTACCCCACAGTGGAGCCTTGGGCACCACTCTATAATCAAAGACACAAATACTTCAAAATACAGTGATATTTCACTAAGTGGCACAGATATGACCACGACACAAATTTGGATATGACAAAGAGACTACGAGCAGCCTCTCGTTAGTTCAGGTCAGGTTTTACCACCAACTGAGTTTGCTGTAAACTTAAAATTTGGTTTTCAGAGCTTTTTGGATTTTGGACTGCAGATGAGGAAGGAATATTTCCTTCTCTTCATGCTCAATAAAAGGGCTGGTCTTCCCTAAGGAGTTCAACAACACAGTCTCGAGAACTTGACTGTTAATTAAGCAGGAGAGCCCTTCACCCCGAGCTGTGTGCATTTAAGGCTACAATCTTTATAACTTGGGTACGTGAAGGGCTATCTGAGGACTTGAGAGCACATGGCAAGTAAAGATTTAAGGGGTCAATTTCCAGATTCTCAACTTTCAAATGTATCTTTTCCTAACCTGATTTACCAGTACTGGGATCCATCAGTTTCCCTTCCCCACCTTCTCACTCACATTCACACTTCTCCCATTTTACAAAAGAAAGGCTTTCTTTTTTCTCTCCTGAATGTTACTATGGTGCACTGCCTCCAGGTGCGAGAAACCTAAGGGGCGCCCAAGTGGGATATATCCAGAATGGACAGCTCCCGAGGGACAGTCCCTTGAGAGCAAAGACAAGCCGTCTTTAGTAAGAAACACTGAAGGTTGTCCAGTCTTATTTTAATCAGGCTACAAACTCTTTGCAAACTCCCTACCCTACCCATCCATTCATGAGATAAAATTCGGAAGTGAGATGGTTGTCACAGGGAGACTTTCTGACAGAGGTGACGTCAGCTCTGGCTGTCTGGGTCAACAAGGAGAGACTGCTTGCTGGGGCACACGGCAGCATTTCCACGTACTGAATGAGTTGAACCTGTGGCTTCAAGGTTTGATGAACATATTTAAAGTACTTAAATTATGATACAACATACAACATGACAGAAGTTACAGCCCTTGCAAATATTTAAACTTAAAAATGCGTGATGGATATAGTTTTCAACAATCATTTAAGGGGTATATGAGCAGAAAGGTTAGAGGGCCACCTCTCTAAGGAATCCTGTCTCCTGCGTGAACTACTCCTGTAAGGAGCCTTACAGGTTCCTTTGGTCCTGGAGAGTGTTGCTTCCTGCCAAGGTTTCCACTAAAATACTTGCCTGGGTACAGAAAGAGGGTTTTGGGAGAGAGATGTCCATCCTCATGTCCCACACTAGGCAGGCTGGCCTATGGCACTGAGCTGGAAAAGTCCCTAAAGATCCCATCCTGAATTCCACTCTTTACTCTCAGTGGCAGGACCGGAATCGCCCATGTCTAACAGGCCTTACACATGGCAACTACCCCAAGAAGGTTCCAAGGTCTTTGTAGAAGGTGACACAGGCAGGGGTCCTTCCTGATGAATAATAGCTTCTCACATCTAAACGAATCTTTTTGGCAGTTTGTATCCCTTTCCTTCTAAATGCTGCAGGGCTGTTGTGAAGGTGCTAACTGCCTGGATGGGCTGGTAAACAGTTTGTGGAAAAAAAGCAGAACGTGCAGATTTCTTCTGGTTTATTCCCCAAATTCTTCCACTAGTGAGCACAAGCAAGGAAGACACTGAAACGATGCTAGTAAATCTGGGATGAGCGGCTGAATTTATTGAGAAGGTTAAGTTCTCAGCCTTTACTCTAGGGGCCAGTTTTCAGGACCAGCCTTCATGGGGTGGAAGGAGTCCTTTGAATCAAGCAGGACGAGGAGAAACACGCTCGCTAGGATTGCTCCTCCCGACAAGGAGTTCTGAGGAGACGCCGAGACGAGTCTGCTTCACCTCACCTACCAAGACTCAGAGCAGGTTCTTCCCTCACAGGAAGCCCCCAACCACGAGGGCTCCTCGGAAGGGAGTGATGCTGAAAGTCGGTCAAGAACCCCCCAAACAGGGTGTCATTCCAGACAGTGGATAAGGAACTGGGGGGCTTTTATTTAATACTTATCAACCTGGTTAGAGGAAGAGCCATCTTAAAGGCAGCGAGGTATTAATTATAGAATTAAAAAATGAAAACATTGCTTATACAATGTGATGCTAAGCAGAATGCTACCTTGGCTACTTGAACAAATCCTTGGGTAAGGCTCTACAGCGACCCAGCACGTATTAGCCCTCACACAGAACTGCTAGCAGCAGAAAACGAGAAAACTCATCTCCAGAGAGACGCTCCAGGCCTGCCCTGGCCCCAAGTTACCTGGCACCAGGCTGTCACACTCCACCAACACTTCGCTGGCCTGGGTTTTCAGGGGTGGCACGATGATAGTTCGGGGGTTCCCAGTGCAATGACTCTCCAGGCTCCCCTTGGTATCAAAGGTGTTGGCGTTGTGCCCAGCACGGTGCTGCACAGAGTAGGGGCTGGTGTTGCTGGACGAGTCAGAGTAGGGAGAGTCGTGGACCGTGACACAGCTGATGACGTTTTTTCTCTGCTTGGAGACTGTGCTGAAAACGTAAAGGGAGAAATGAAGTGAAGGCTATGAAGTGAGACACCAAACCAGTATTTCAGAACTGGCTGTGTGAAAAGGCCTTCTCTGTGCTCTGGGGCAAGGGAGGGAAGCAGAGAGGCAGAAAGGGTAGGAATGTGACATGCACCACAACCCTAACAGGGAGGTGGGACACACAAGTGTCACCTGTCTAACCAGTAGCAGGGGGCAAGTGAAGATGGGAGAAAGTGGCTGGAGCTGGGCCCACAGGTGCTTATGGAAATTGGGGTGTGAGAAGCCTCCAGGCAGGCCTGGGCTCTCAGCAGAACTGCAGGGGTGGCACCTGTAGCCTAGAGCAGTGTGGCAACGCCTCCAGAGCCACCAAAAGGCCACATCTGAGCAAACAGAGAGCCCAGCAATACCCCGGCAGCCTGAGGCCCCGGCTTGGGAGGACATGGCCGGGAAGCAAACAGCATAAACTTAGGCTCGAGGCCTGGGAGAGCCAGCAACCTTAGGCAAGGGAACGGAACACCCCAGAGGAACCAGGATGCCATGAGAGGGAAGGAAGAAAAGTGAGGTTCTGTGGAGGCTGCACAGTTCACATGTGCTGAGAGGGAGATCGGAGCTGGAATTGACACCCTGGGCCATCTCTGCTGGGAGAGTGTTCTGTGGGAAGACTTCGTGGTGCAGCTCCCAGGCCTCTGAGAGTCCCCTCCTCAGGGGAGGCCCAGCTCTCCTACAGCTTCCCCACTCCCTGGGCCGAGGATCAGGGAGGGACAGCACTGCATCTAGGTGAGGTCGGAAGGGGTCCGGCCGGGATGATGCCCACGAGGGAGATGCTCTGAATTGCTGGTCTTCATCCTCTAGGTGAAACTTAATACGCCGACAGGGGGGAACTGGCTTTGGATGGCTCTTGGCCAGCACATTTTTTTCTGAGATATTTATGTTTGTGTGGTTACTTTGGGAACCAATTCTGTCTGCCTTCAAGCTCAGTTGAGAGGCTGGTGGGATGATGGATGTGGAATTTGTTGCTTATGGTGAAGGTTTTAAAAATGGGTTTTCATCTATTTTTATGCACTGATCATCTATTTTTAAGAAATATTGATTGCCTAAGCAAGATGGTCAGTTTCCAACTCATTTGCTAAGAGAAGAAGCTGGTATTTATAGATATCGTGGCCCAGTGGAGCCACAACAACTCCCCGAGGTGTCTTACTCAAGGTCACACAGCCAGCGACAGGCCAGACTCTTTCCCAGATTGATCCCTGCCACCCTAAGGGCAGCGGAGAAGTGGGCAAACTCCAGAGCCCAGGCAGCTGGGCAGAAGGTAAGGGAAGGACAGCAGGGCTGCTACCCTACAAAAGGCAGAGGGGAGGGAAGCGAGCCCGCAGGAGGCCTGGCCCCCCGTGCCCTGAAGCCTGCCATTCCTGACACCTGGGCCAGACAACTCTTCTAGCGGCTGCACATTCCATCCTTGCTGGTTTAGGGTAGAAGCGTCCCTCCCTCACCATGTCTGTGGGTGAGAGCACGGGCCCTGCAGCCAGATGTGTAATGTCAGCATGTGCTGGGGTGTGGCCTTGGGCAGCTAATCAACCCGAGTGATTCAGTCTCCCTATCAGTAAATGTGGATGATAACAGTACCTCTATCAAAGGCTTGTTTTGAGAATTAAATGAGAATATACATGGAAAGTGCTCTGAACAGTGCACAACACATAGTAAGTATTCTACAAAAGCTGCCATTACTATCATTAGTTGTGTTACCTCATTTAACATGTGAAAACAGGTTTGCAAGAAACATATTTAAGCAAAGTGAATTCTATCAAGGCACAAACTTGCTGGAAAAGTTTCTATTCTATGAATAAACCAGAAGCTATGAAAGAAATTAAAACTCATCAGTTACATATCTTGGAGATCTTTGCTAGGTGCTACAGGGAATTTTTGTACAAAGAGATATAACACGTGTCTCTGCCCTGGAGGAGACTGAAATCTCAGTGGGGGACTGTATAAAAACATGACAAGTTAAACAGTAAAAGCTTTGAAGTTATCAGTTAAAGAGAATAATGGATGTCACAAAGCCTTCCATGATGAACTGTCAAATGAGTTGTACAGATGATAATTGTTAAGAACTCAAAAGAAGGTGAGGAATGAATTGACTGCATATATTTACAGCTCTTCAAGTTAACTTTGATAAAACAGATAAATTTTAATTAATAAAGACCTATACTTCCCACTTACAACAGTTTAAAATGAAAAAAATCCATGTGTGTTCCTCAGAAAGCTAAACATAGAGTGACCACATGACCCAGCACTTTCACCCCTAGGTATACACGCAAAGGAGTTGAGAACAGGGACTCACACAGACACCTGTACGCCAATGTTCACAGCGGCATTACTCACAATAGCCAAAAGGTGGAAACAACTCAAGTGTCCATCAACAGATAAATGGATAAACAAAATGTGGTCTATCCATACAACGGATTATTATTCAGCCATAAAAATGAATGAAGTTCTGAAACATGCTACAATATGGATGAACCTTGAAAACATTACGCTAAGTGAAACAAGCCAGACACAAAAGGACAGATATTGTATGATTCCACCTACATGAGGCACCGGAACAGGCAAATTCAGAGATGGAAAGCAGACTAGAGGTTAGCAGGGGCTGAGCGAGGGAGGAATGGGGAGTTATTGCTTAATGGGTCCAGAGTTTCTATTTGGGGTGATGGAAAAGTTCTGGAAATAACGGTGATGACTGCACACATTGTAAATGTACATAACGTCACTGAATTGTACACTTAAAAATGGTTAAAATGGCAGATTTTATATTTTACCACAACGTAAAAAATTAATGTAATATACCAAAACGGATTGAATTATACACTTTAAATGAGTGAATTGTATGGCATGTGAATTATATCTCAATTTTTTTTTTTTTTGGTGAGGAAGATCAGCCCTGAGCTAACATCCACGCCAACCCTCCCCCCCCTTTTTTTTTTGTGGAGGAGGATGGGAATGGATATTAGCCCAGGGCCAGTCTTCCTCAGCAAAAAAAAAAAAAAAAAAAAGTGGAGGACTGGCATGGATGTTAGCTCAGGGCTGAACTTCCTCACACACACACACACACAAAAGTCCATATGCTTATTCAGAAACAAAAAAGCAAAATGGGATTAGCAACTGGGTGGGGGTTGGGGGGGCATTGAGATCTGTCACAAGAACTAGAAAGTGAGGCACCAGGAAAGGTCACTGAGCCTAGAAAGTAGGGACAAGGGAGCATTGGAAGGAAGAAGAGCTGTCTTAAAAAGACAAAGACAAGCGAAATCTGGAGCTGTTTTCTGTGGTGGGTGGGGCTGGGCAAAGGGAAAGGACTGCTCTGTGACTAGTCTGTTGTGTATTACGATATTAAAGGGAACCCCTTGCAAAAAGTGCTCCCAGGATCAGGGAGAGGCCTGGGAGGCTGTAACCATGCAGCTCCCAGGGCCCGAGGGGACGCGGGGAGACTGTGCTGCCCTGCCCTTACTCTCAGCTGTGGTCACAGCTGGTCCTGTGATTAAGTAACAGGAACGCACAGCGCCTCAACTGGTCATCTCACGAAATGCAGACATGTTCTGACGCAGGTGCACGATCTGCAGACGGCGGACCCCACACGAAGAACAGAGGCTGGCTCTCAAATGTGTCCTGGGAGCTGGTGTTCTAGTCCTGCCTCCGCTGTCCATTTATTGGTGTGACCCTGGACAGTGGCCTGGATACTGGTGTGACCCTGGATGTCCCTCCAGCTCTAACTTGCTATGAAATCCATTAGGGAGAGTGGCATTAAAGGATCCATTCTGCGAGTCCCTTAAAGATTTATTAAAGACATTTAAAATAGGATTTAGTTTATTCCTAATTTGGAGAGGAAATAAATCCCTTCGGTAAGTGTACCTTACTTGGAGACCCAGACCCCGCCACTTCCTGCTGACCATTATCTTCCTTAGGTTCTGGGTAGTTTAGAAAATAAGGAAATGAAAAATACACACACACAACACTAATTTTGGCCAACCTGTAATAAAATTCAAATTGGACATATTTGGAATTCTTCACTCAAATTTGGAAATTGTGGAGAAGCTTCAGCTCACTATGAGTAAGAATTTCCTGACAACTGGAACTATCTGAACATACAATGGGCCATTTCATGAATCAGTGAGCTTCTTGTCACTGAAGGATGGCTTTCTGGCAAGAGCCTTACAACAGCTGACAGCTTGGTCTAGATGACCTGTGAAAATTTAGGGCCATCTCCTAATGGAAATCCAACAGGTAGCGAGCCTTTCCACCAAAGAGGCTGAGGAATCCTGCATGTCAGTGTCCTGACATCTGTCAAGGAGTGTGGGATAAAACCTGTATAAACTCTTCATGGGTCCCATCTCTTTTTTTGGAGCTGGGATATCCCTACACCTAACGAGCAAATAGGTACAACAGTCTAATGCTGATTTATCTACCTTTTTGGATTTACATGTGACAGGTTTGGAAAAGGTGAATTAACTTGATAGGTCTGTTTTTAATCTCTTCTATCGTTAGAAACCTTTGTGCTCTACCTGAATATACTATGTAGATTAGAGAACAAATGGGAAGCTGTTAAATGAGTGAATTTAAAAATGAGCACACATTTGACGTTACTAACTACGGATTCTTTAGGCTCATCTGTATTGATTCTACCGAGATTCATTCCACTATAGTGTCTAATTACTATTGATAGCTTATCAATCCCATTATGAATTGGTTAATGGAAGTGCGAGAGATAGTGATATGAGTAGAATGAGAAATATTTGCTTAAATGGCCTTGACAGACCATTACTTCTGAATAAAGAACAAAGCTGTCAGAGTTCACAATTGCACTGTGTTGTCATGGCGATAGATGATTTTCATCATTTTAAAATGATAAGAAATAAGGAGCTAAGAAGTAAAGAAATCAGCCCCAGTGGAGAAAACGCTGACAGAGGATCAGACACAAACCTGTGACCCCTCCCTGTAGGGCCCTGTCTGGAATGT